CCTCACTTTGTACTTTGTGTTTTAAGAGAGATTATGCACTTGGTGTAGCACCAGACTTCTATGATCTTAGTACTCAGGAATCAGAGACCAGAAGATTGTGAATTTGGGATCAGCCTGGACTATCGAGGAAAGTTCAGGCAGGAGTGAACTGTATAGTGAGATTTCTTCCCCAAAACATAACAAAAATAAAACAAACAAATCAACAAATCCCAACAGAGAGGGGGGCATTATACTACTGTGCTATAGACAAATAAGAGATGGGCAGATGTTATTTTATATATAAAGAAACATTTGCGGGGAGAAGACTTCATGCTTTGTTACCCTAGTCTCTGGAGGCATTCCAGTTTGGAAGTCTAAGTGGTTTGGTGCTAAGCATCTCTGTTCAAATTCTGTTTTCATCAATTACTAGTTGTATATCTTTGGAAAAATTACTTAAACATCCTCTGCCTCAGTTTCCACTTGAGTAAATTGGAGAGAGTGAGCACCCAGCAGAATTATATGAAATAATCTATGTAGAGAATTTAACAGATAGATTGGAACAAACACGGAAAATGCTCATATTGTTATTGCTATTATTACTTTGTTTCCAAATCTAACGGTAGAAACATCAGATCCATGAGAGACATGGTTTGAGAAGGCGGCATTTTGCTTCCTATCCCCGTCTTCCTAGATGTGGGCCTGGTCAAGTAATTTAACCTCACTATGCTTTCATTGTGAGGATGTTTAAAATCTTAGTAATAGCAACAGCACAATAATATCAGCCACATCTTTGGTCTTCAGCCATCATCTGACACACCATGGCACAGAGACAAATTTGTGCTCTGTGTTGTAAGTACTGGCCACTTTCTAAGTATTTGATAAATAAGTGCTGATAATAAATAATATTATCAGTCAGCCTTCCTGTCTTTTGCCAAGAGGATGCCACTTGACAGTCACAAAGACCCAGGGAGCCAGATAACCTACTTGCATGTGATATGAGTCACCCACACTACTTTATGGATTTTTAAAAATTTCAGATATAACTAGAAAGCTTTAAAATTTCCTGTTCAAGTGTGCAGTCCAAATGCCCACCTGTAAACTGCTTATAGAAGATTCACCTAAGAGACAGTAGAAAGCACAGACTCCAGGCTTTTCCTTGGGCTCACTGAGTCACAGTCTCATGCATAGGGGTTTAGGATTTAAAAAGGTGATTCTGCCTGTCAGGGAGTTGGAAATTGTATAGAACATGTTTATATGATACTAATCGGTATTCCTTCTCAACAGCATTGTTCTGTAATGATATCTCCCCCACCCACCCCACCCCACCCTACCTCTGTGGTATATGCATGTGTTTGTGTGGGTGTGTGCACATGGATGTGGGTGAGTCTGGAGGTGAGAAGTTGGTGCTGGGTATTTTCTTAAACTGCTCTTCCTCTTGTTTTTGAGAGAGTCTCAGTGAACCCGGATCTCAGATCCAGCAAGGCTGGCTGAAGTCCATCTTTGCCCCTGCAGCACCAGGATTAGACGTGTGCCACTGTACCTGCCTGGCTGGCTGTGACATGAATGCTAGGGGTCTGAACTCAGGTCCTCCCTTTACCAACTACGTCATCTCTTCAGCTCCCAAATATCCCTTGTGTTTAAGTATGGTCTTCTTTCTCTCCTCTTCGCTTCTTTGTCCTCCTCCTCCTCCTCCTCCTTCTCCTCTTCTTCTTCCTTTTTTAATTTGGTTTTTTGAGACAAGGTGTCTCCGTGTAGCCCTGGCTGTGCTAGAACTAGCTCTGTAGACCAGGCTGGCCTCTGACAATCTCTTCTTCATCTTCATCCTTCTCTTCCTTCTCTTGGCATTGTAGGGGATAGAGCCCAGGGCCTTGGACTAGGAGTCATGGAGCCACATAGCCACAGTCTTAATAGATTTTACAACAGAGGGCATTTTCTTTGTCCATCTTGGTGTCCACCCCTGCACATGATCATACATGTAGGGACTTACCACATGATGGAAGACTAGTTTATACAGTCTTGGGATATTTGGGCTCAGATGATGCCTCTAAAACATCCTCTTCCAGAGACCTTCTGGCCCTCACTATGGGATGGTCCCTTTGCACACAATGCCAGAGTCTCCCAGGAACTTATTAGCATGCAGATTCTCATGCCAGGCCACAGATACACTAAGCCAGACTGTTGTCCAGGAAAGGAAAATTAATAGCCAGATGACACCAATCTGCTGCTCTGGACTTTGAAAAGATGCCCTCTCTCTGTGTGTCTGCAATGAAAGCTGTGTGTTGTGCTATGAGAGTTTTCTTGGGCCTTGCTGTGACCTGGGATTTGGAAGATTTGGGCTTAGCTGTTTAAGCCATTACCCTCCAGCTCACTTGCTTTTAAATTGAGACATCTCCCTAGGGGAGGCACTGGAGTGTAGGCGTCTCTGTAGACATCAATTCTGAAGGAGCTACCTCTTCTGTGTGCTCCGAAAGAATGACTTTTTCTCGGGCTAGGTTTGGCAGCTGTTCTGTTTTCTTGGAAGCAACGTGTCGGAAGTGACTATGTGTATGCCTGGTAAGATGAAACAAGAAACGCGTGAAGACGCCCTCTTCGCCTTGCTCCTTTGTGTCTTCCCTCTCGTTTCTTCTCAGATACTGGTAATTGAGACTTTCATGTGTGAAAGTTCCGTTACACACTGTCAATATCTTATGGGAATGCTAGTGCCACTCTCTTGGTTACTGTTCTATCGCCGTGAAGAGACACCATGTCCAAGGCAACTTACAAAAGAAAACATTTAATTGTGGACTTGCTTACAGTTTCAGAGGGTGAATCCTCTGTGACGGGATCATCATAGTAAGGAGGATGGCAGCAGGCAGGAAGGCATGGTACTGGAGCAGTAGCTGAGAGCTTACACCTTATCCACAAGTTGGAGGCAGAGAGAGAGAGAGAGAGAGAGAGAGAGAGAGAGAGAGAGAGAGAGAGAGAGAGAGAGAGAGAGAAGAGAAAGCTAACTGGGAATAGCTTGAGCTTTTGAAATTTCAAAGACCACCCTCAGTGACACATCTTCAACAAGGCCACACCCCCTAATTCTTCCCAAAACAGTTCCACTAATTAGGGACCAAGCATTCACATTTGAACATAGAGGAGCCAAACATTCACCAATTGTGTGTGTGTGTGTGTGTGTGTGTGTGTGTGTGTGTGTGTGTGTGAGAGAGAGAGAGAGAGAGAGAGAGAGAGAGAGAGAGAGAGAGAGAGAGAGAGAGAAAGAACTGAACCTCTGATGTCTCTGGGTAAATGAGATCAAAGTCAGTCCCTTGGGTGAGGCTTTCTGAGAAACTTCTAGAGAGGAAAAACTGATTGCCTTTTTTTCCTTATTTCACCTAGAACTAAGAGATGAGTAGCATTTTCCTTTTTCATCTATGACATAATAAATGTATACTACAAATTGCTAAGTATATTAGTTACTTTTTTGTTTTATAGTGGCTGCCCCTTAAGTAACCACTGTCCTAATTTGCAACTCCACTGCTACCAGCAGTGGTCCCATTGAAGGGGCCACAGCCTGAGGGGATTCTGTTCCCTCAGGCACCGACTCTTCCAAAGCTACTAAGGGAAACTTTATCTAGATCTCTATCTCTCTAAATAACTCATAATTCAAAGGTTGAGGTGGAATTCTGCTCGCTCAGAGAGGCTGAAACGCAAGTAGCTCACCTTCTTCCTTTGCTGGCGTCTTCCAAAAAACCCAACCGTCCTTCTGCTCAGCCCCCACTATACGTGGTTCCTCCCTACCACTTCCTGTCAGCTACTTGCTGACTCAGTCTCCTGCTCACAGGTTAAATTTATTTAATCAAACAAATGTAACACATCCTTGCATTGTTAACAAAAACAGTAGGGGAAAAAATGCAACACACTTTAAAACAATATTCCATAACAGGTTTCCATACAGAGTTTCTCTATGTAACCCTGGCTATCTTGGAACTCTCTCTATAGACCAGGCTGGCCTTGAACTCACAGAGATCTTCCTACTTTTGCCTACTGAATCCTGGAATCAAAGATGTGTGCCACCACTTCCTGGCTTTATTTTGTTTTTTTGAGACAGAATCTCTCTATGTGGCCTTGGCTGTCCTGGAACTTGCTGAGGAGACCAGGCTGGCCTTGAACTCACAGAGATCTACTGGTCTCTGTCTCCCAATTACTGAGATTAAAGGTGTGTGCTGCCATGCCCTGGCAGCAATTGTTAATAATACTCCAATATGAAAAATACAGATCTCGTGATTGGAAGACTTTCCATTTAACTGCTTTCTGTCATGTTAGAGAAACTAGAGTGAATGTGAATGATTAAATGCTATATAGGTTCTGGGTTCCATGACTTGAGAACAGGGACAGGTGGGCATAGCAAGTGTTTGGTCATTTTCCTCATTACGAAAGTGGTGGCACTATAATATAATGCCTTTGATGATTTTGTTAGATAGGCTCTAAACTAGAAATCCTTCATCTAGACTACCTTTTGGAGAGGGTCGTTCTGCTCTATTTTGTTAATGACTCTGGGAACCAATCACCAATTGTCCAGGAACTGAACATGGCTTGGGTTGCTGTGCTTCTGACTTTCATGGGACCAAACATGGGTCCAAGTTTGTCCCCGAATATTGTCGTGTACTTGGTTCTTAGCTTGTCCAATCAGTACTCTGTTTGGGTCAACTCCATGCAACACTGAACAACAGTTTTGCATTCCTGGACTCTTTCCTCATTCTCTTACATCCCACCTTAGCTCACTTATATTATAAACATTATGCATACAGATTCACTTGGATTTAATTGCAATTATTATTTTTTATTTTTTCCTGGTATTGCATAATTGATGAAGGAACCCAGGATATTTAGGCATATTTTCTGTATTCCTACAGTCTCCTTCATTGTCTGAAAAACCACAGAGTTCACTTAAAAGGCAATGAATCCTTCATCAGGTTTTCTTTAAGCCATGTATTCATCAGGATCCCCACTTGTGCTGTGGCTTAACTTTATAATCTTTGATTTATAATTTACAGCTGCTGAGAACCAGAGGGAAGCCTACTCCTTTGGAAGAACATTTCCCTAGATTACCTCGCCACTGCTGGGGATCCCCTTGAACACTGGTCCCTGAACACCAGCTTCCAGAAGACTCCATGGATGGCCATCCAGTCTTATCCACTGCTGTTTTCCCTCTGCACTTCCTTCTTCGATTCCTTCACTCTAGCCAGGCTCTCATCAGGGTCAGATCAGAGATGGACCAGCTGGACCACAGATTGGAGGACTGACCTCTTAGAGTGCCAACAGTCAACAGTGTGCTGTCCGACCCATAGAAAGATAAGAAGAAGAAGAAGAAAATATGCTGTGTGGAAGGGAGAGGAATGGTCTGATAATTCCTTAGAGGCTGAAAGTGAGGAACAACGAAATTTAGAGGAATGTGACATTTTCCTGCAGGGCTTCTTTTTGGTCCCTACTGAGATATATAATCTGGGTGTTCCTGCTGGACTGTGATTCAGAGGAGACTAAGTCTTCTAGTGGTCCTCCTGCTAGTAAGAGACGCCAACCCATTAGTCTCTGTGTTGCTTCTCTGCACTGTAGATCTGCACTTTTAACCTGGAAGATGTTGGCATTGACTCTTGTAGGATAAAGGTCAATGATAACAGCTGTTCAAACCTCCTCCAACTTTCTGTTTGTAGATCAGGTGGTGACATCCTGTACTGAGATTGTTAGAGCAATGGAGTCACAGGGTGGAACTGAACTCTTTTAAAATATTTGGCTGAAACATGGCATTGCTAGTTACGTAGAAGAGAGCATTATGAAACATGATCAGAATCATGAAACAAGGTACTACTGGTCATATTTTGCAATCCAGCAACCCACTAAGGACAATGTAGACTCTACAGAAACTGGGAGCAGGTAGACATGGTTCTTTTCCCATGAAGCTTACACTCCAGAGTCCCTGTAGGGGTGAAAAGCAGTGGCTACAGCACATGTGTGGCCACTAGTTGGGGAGGAGGAGTTCCTAATGTTGCAGTCATGGCCAGTGGCCAAGTATCTCTAAGCCTACCTTTTATAAGCAATCTGTGAACATGGACTGCTTTTCCCTAGCCAAAGTCCTGGGATGTCAGGGGAAGTGCTTGAGGTTTGCAGCTTCTGGGGAGGGAAATACGAAGTGATTTAGACCAGGGAACAAAAAGGGATGGGATTCTGAACCAACTATTGCTTCTATTCTGTGTGGAAATTACAGTATGAAATATGCTGGGCTGGGAAACTTTGACACCTTGGTATTAGTTCTTCCTTCCTTCCTTCCTTCCTTCCTTCCTTCCTTCCTTCCTTCCTTCCTTCCTTCCTTCCTTCCTCTCCTTCTCCTTCTCCTCCTCCTTCTTTTTTTTTTATAATACTAAAAAGCTATGTGATTGTAGGCAAGCCATTTCCCATTCCCTGTGGATGTCTCTTGAGTGACTTTAAAACCCCTTCTAGTTCTGAAAGTCTTTTTGTTGCTGTTGTTGTTTATTTGTTTGTTTTTTTCAAAACAGGGTTTCTTTGTGTAGCTTTGGAGCCTGTCCCGGAACTTGCTCTGTAGATCAGGCTAGCCTTGAACTCACAGAGCTCCCCCTTCCTTTGCCCCCTGAGTGAGTGCTGGGATTAAAGGTGTGTGCCATCACCACCTGACACTCTGAAAGTCTTAACATCAGGCCCCGGGCTACAGGGGTCAGTTTCAAAATACCCTGCCTTCAGATGCTAGATCATATATATTCAGCATCTACATAAACTTTTTTTTTTATTTTTGAGGGGATGTCTGTTTTATCAACTTTTTAAGTACACATTGAGTTCCTCTGTGGAGTTAAGAAGACATTAACTCTAAGTCCTCCTTCATTGCGGCTTGCTGCCTTTCCTCACGTCCTTTGCTTGTTCACATCTCTACTGAGCTTACACTACATGCTGTGCATCAGATACATGTTGGGTTTGGAGATACATGCTGAACCTGACACTTCCCAGACTCCCTTCACTTTTCCAGAGAGCCTTTCCTTTACTTCTACCTTCTGGCACTTTCTTTGGCAGGAACCAATTGTATCTAGGCAGTGTGCTGTAGCACCCTTGAGGTAACCACATGCAAACAGGGACCACCTAAGCAATTTTATCAAACACTAAGATAGACATTTAAGTAACCATTCAGACCCAGGATTACCACAAAAAGAACTTTCTCCAGGTATAAGGAAGAGGGACATTTTCCTTCCGGGATGTGTGCAGAAGAACCACCCTCCAGCCTGTGGAGAACACCAAACACTCTACTCTCTGCAACCTGTCCTTGCCCAAGCAGAAAGAATCTAAACCCCAAAATACTTCTCAATAAATAGACATACTTTCTATGCACTGTTTTTCTCTGTATCATCCCCATGGCTTGCCACTTCTTAAAAAAGGAATGGAAAAACACTAATGAGACAAAAATGTTGCTGTGAGCTCTGACCTCATTGGGAATCCTTTTAGCAATTTCTCATTTCTATTTCATTATCAACAAATCTACTGAATACTTATCTTCAAGTCCAAGATACACAAAACAGTGGAATTTCAGGTTCAGAGCTGTTGACATATACTATTTGTTTTGAGTCTTTTTGTCATAGGGAATGACTTCAGACATTTCAGTTTAATGACATAAGTGGGGGAATGAATGGCTCTTGACTTTCACTTTCTTTTTCAGTTCAGGTCAAGGAATAGGTACCTCCAGGCAATGTCTACACTTCTCTATGATCAAGGGCTCTTACTGTTTCTAGGTATATATCACTACCAAGGAATATTCATCTCCTCTTCTTGTCTTTATTTCCTACTTGGCAAAAATATTAAAGACAGTATAAAGTTCATAAGATAAACTCTTCCGATAAGAAGTTAGAGAAACAAAAGGCCAAGATTATTGTATTTGAAAAACAGTGGAAAGGAGTTACTCCATACAACAAGGCCCATGTAGGAAGTTTATTGAAGGAAGGGGAGAGAAGGGGCAGAAAAAGGGGCAGAGACCGGTCCCTGGGGCTGAGAGCGAAGGAAGAGAAAGAGAGAGAGATGGGAGGTGTACAAGGCCCACCTTTTATAAGGAAACATAGCAGACGTGCACAGGGTTGCTTTTAGTGACTGCAGCTGAGGTATATCCCGTCAGGACCCTAAGGGCAGGCCAGTGCAGATGCCTAAATGCTAACAAAGATAAGCAAAATAAATGGAAAAAAAAAAAAACCTTAAATGTTTAGCAAGCATTCAACTATAATTCTTTGGAATCCATGTCTAGTGTATCCTTTCTGTGTTTTTTTTTTTGTCTTTGATTTTCTTTCTTTTTTAGTTTGTTTGTATGTTTTGATTTTTGTTGTTTCTGTTGTCGCTTTTCACTTCTTTTGAAAGAGAGATAGCAGGAAGTTGGTTGGGTAGGGAGGTAGGGGGGATCTGTGTGGAGTTGGAAAGTACGTGATAAAAATATATTGTCTGAAAAAAAAAAGAACTTTAAGTTTTGTGCTTTGAGACAGAGTCACAGGTAACCCAAATGGACCTTGTGGCTGAGGTTGGCTTCAAACTTCTGATTCTTCTGCCTCCATATGGGTAGACCGCTGGGATTACAGTCATGTAACCATGCCCAGTTCGTTTTCAAATATTTAGTGCAGCATTCCTCCCTTTCTGCAGAAGTGGAATCAGTAAATCCATATAATTCTAAACATTCTAATGAGGAGAACAGTCTGTTGAGCATTTTCACACTCCCAAGAATCTGAATATTAGCTCTGTGAAGACAAAATATAGAGATGATAGACTGCTCTTCCTGCTTCTCATTTGAATGGTCTAGTGTGTTGTAGTTCCAGCCATTGACCTTAAAGCAACCTATATATGTTTTCTTTATTCCTAAAGAGAAAGGAAAAATCTGATTTTTTCCAAGCAATTAAAACTCTTCTGCTTCAGGTAGGGTGGAAAGAATGAGGAGCTATGTCTCCCTGTATATAATTGCAAGGTTCATCTTTCTTGTTTTAATGATTGACAGAAAACTGATAAACTGAGACATTTCCTTGTTAAGGGTGAATGTACTCTCTTGGTGGTCCCATTGCTAATTTGTTTGACTATTTTGTACGATTTCTTACTCTGTAATGGAAAGGTTTATTAAATACGAGGGTGGCAAAGCTTTCTGAATACTAATGAACTTATTTGCCAAAATTTAAATGTTCTTCTTGCTAGTGAATGTCTGTCTCACTTAACAGGAACCAAATTGAATAATGAAGAAAATTAGACTCTAGTGAACCTCAAGAGAAATCGTGTGTGAATTGTAATAGAAAACTGAGGGAGAAAAGGGTCATATTTTAGAAAAAACACTAGATAATTTAGATTATTTTTAAAAAAGGATGAACTTAGGGAAGCTCAGGTTCTTTTCAAAGAAACACACATTCAGACAATTAATTCAAAATGCTGGTTTTCCCTTCACCCAAGCAGTCTATACCTATTGCCAGTCTACAGTAAAAGAAGGGCAGATTAGGTGGGAAATGCACGCCAGGTTTCTGTGCTTACAATTCACTAAACTTCTTCTCATGTGAGGATCTTATATACCTGTGATGGAAAGGGAAAATCAATAACCTTGAAAAATGAGCACTATTCTTCAGAGAAGTTCAATAAAAAGATAGAATTTGGGGAATTGCTGCAATTCTTCCTACAAGCATAAGATAATGAGTGTGCCCTCACACTGATGTGTTTAATTCCACCATCTTGGTGTTATGGCTAATGAAGTACATGATCATGATGCCTTTCCTCTGCTAGCATCCAGGGGCATTGTGGGAACAACATGGTTGCCCTCCTGACCAGGAGACAGGGCGGGGGAAATTCGGCAACCATACCAACTGCAAAGCATGGTCAGCATAAAACACAGGGTGTATATGGAGTAAAATCAAGCAGCTAAGGAGAAGAGATGAGAATGGGAAGGTGACAAGGAGCAAAGATGGGAAATGGACCTTTTGTCCCTGACACAAATCTGAGAAAGGGACATGTTCGCTGAAAAAGCAGGAGGGAGTGAGGGTCTTGAGGCTGAGAAAATAATCAAAATGAAAATAATGAATGTCTCTAGTTTTCAAAGGAGTTCTTCCTGAGGTTTTTAAAAATTAAAGGTAAATACAGAGGAAGGTCAAGGCCCTTGGAGCCTGTGGAGTTTTTAAAATAAAATAAAACATAAAAAAAATGGAAAGGTAAATAATGGACAAGAAAAGAAACCCAGAGTAAAGAGAGATTCAAAGTTAGGGTTGATTTTCAACCCAGAAGGTGTCTTTTGGACATCATGCTGGACTTCATCTCTGAAGGAGAAAAAAAAATGGTTAATCTATCTCAGAGTAATACTATTTTATACTATTTGATCTGAGGATGAATTTTCTTTATTGTCCCTGATGAGATTTAAAAACAAAAACCAAACAGCAACAACAACAACAAACTAGACCCTAATTGCTTCCGTGGTGGGGGGCGCTTTCCAGTTACAAATCTCAATTTCCCCCCTTATAATGATAATTGGGTTTCAACAAGAGGGTAAACAAACAGGGAGACAGAGACGTATCTCTACCATGTCAACTCCTGGCCTGCTCTGATGGAAATAAAGGATTTAGTGAGTAGAGATGGAGGCAGAGGAACAAGACAATGGAACAGAGGAAAAGGCTGCATACCCAGTATGATGGCCCAATTTGTGGGAAATCAAATGAACAATTGGGTTTGAAGGACGTGTGCAATAAGGAGGCTGGGATAATAAGACGTATTTAGAAAGGGGAGATTACTTGGGAAAGCGAGGGTGAATGACGAATTATGTGGAGATGATTAAGGACTGAGGAAGGCAGAGGAGCGAGGACATAATTGGAATGGGAAACAAAATGTGACCAAGAGGCTGTAAAAGGCAAGTTCCAATTCTGCATGGCGACTCACCGACCTCTAGGGAAGGCGCACAAGCTGGAGAGAGAGGTGGAAAAGACCCACACTGTTCATGGTTAACACATAAAGTCAGGACAATAGGAGAAGCAGTAAATGTCACTCTTCTTTCGGAATGAAAGCACATCCAGAGGAGTGCATTAGTCTGTGTTCGCCATTCATTTATGAGGAGAATAGTCTTCGTCTCCCTTTGTAAAAGGTTGATTTATAAAATGATTGCTATTAACGGAAAGAAAAGGTAAGCATTATCCGGGAAGTTAAGAAAAGGTTGAGACTAGAGTAACTGAAGTGGGGAATATGTGAACAAGCCTCTTCATGGCCCTTAATATAAGATTTCCAAATTTAACATTCCATAGAAGAACTAGAGGCCAATTATCCAAATACAAGCATAGGTAGTGAGGAGGGAGGAAGTTTAAGTTGTCGTAAATACTTTATAATATGTTTTCTGCAACATTTCACCCTCCATAAAAATGGTTGTCATAAGTTAAAGAGCTTCTGGGTGTTATTTGAAACACTTACATGAGAGGATTTATAGCAATGTAAAGTAGTAGACACAATGTTAATTGAAAAAAAAAGTTCATGTTGGGAGTTGCTCTAAGTGCCTGTGATTTCCCTTTTACTTTCCCCTGTTTGTGCTTAGGATTTCTTGCAAGCAGACAGCACAGACCCCCTTCGGAGGGAAGCTGATAAAGTAATTTAGCTGGAAAGGCTTAATGAGATAATGATGCTAAGGCCAGTTAACAACTAATAAGCATCTAACCACGAGGGATGATATTGTTGCTTATTAATTATAATGATGATGTGGAGGAGAGAGACAAGGTGGCACTCGCTTAGCAGAGAGTACTCAGGAGTATGACTGACTCCCAGAGGCAAAGCTGCCATCAGAGGGCTTTAGAATTAGGTCAACACTTAGCCGAGTTTGAAAATTTGTGTCTGCTGGGTTATATGGCCACCACAGAGCTAGAGGCCATGCAAAAAATAATGGTAGGCAGAGCTGAAGTAGAGTCCTGTGTGACTTCCAGGATATATGCAGAGGCAGACTCCAGGTCAAGGTTTGGGGAAGTCTTCTTGATGATAATTCCCACAGTAGTCACTCCTGGGTAGACAGGCAGGTGTCCAGAATGAACTGGGTAGGCTTCCAGGTGGATGACCTTCCCCTTCACCAATGAGTCTGGTGAGTCAGACATGGAGCGTAGCTATTCAATTGGTTTTTCTGTTGTTGTCCTTGTTCTGTTTTTCGAGAAAGGGTTTCTTTGTGTAACAGTCCTGGCTGTCCTGGAACTCCCTTTGTAGATCAGGTTGGCCTCACAGAGATCTGCCTGCCCCTTCCTCCGGAGTGCTGGGATTAAAGGCATAGACCACCACCACCCGGCTGTTTTTTGTTTGTTTGTTTTTAGCTTGCTTTAGAGAAGGAGCCCAGAAGATTTTCCTTCCTTCCTTCCTTTCTTTCTTTCTTTCTTTCTTTCTTTCTTTCTTTCTTTCTTTCTTTCTTTCTTTCTTTCTTTCTTTCTTTCTTTCTTTCTGTTTTTCTTCCCCCGCACCCCCGAGGTACATTATCTGCTGACTTGACTTTAGAGGTATGGGGTGTTAGGCAGTCACCTGACTCTGTTTCCTGTATGCCCAGGCTGGGGGAACTGTAGCATCAACACAGTGGAGACGTACTCATCTGTAGAGGGTAGAAGTAGAGAAGGCAGGTTGTGGTAGTGGAGGATAAGCCGTTATGGGAAATGCATCAGGCTTTTAGGAATCTTAGGACTCCTCCAGGGAGGTCTAGGATCAGGCGACACAGGTCCAGCTTGGGAAAGCTGATTGGGGGGCCTGGTAGGGTATATGAAACTCATCTCCTTATCCCCAGTCTCCCCCAACAACTCTGGATGGGTCCTGAAGCCTCAGCTGTTGCCTACTTTTTGCTGGGTCTTTTGATCCACCTCTGCAGTGACAAAGGTGATTTTCCATGCTTTCTGGTGCTGTCATTGGTGAAATGAGGGCCATGCCACAGGATTTGACTTAGGCTATGTGATAATGCACATTGAGTACAGTTATATTGTAATAGTAGAGAATGGTATTCTCACCACCAGCTTAAGGGACATCATTTTCATTTTTTATTGAACATGAGGCTTGAAAGTGGCAAGAGGTGAGAAACAGTGGGGCTGGAAAAGAGGGAACATCTCTAATTCTGACCTTCCTACCAGTTCTGGGACCTGGAGCAAGTCCCTTGATCTTCTGAACCTTGCTTCCCTCATTTATAAAAAGAAGGGCTATTGAGGAGGATCTTAATAGCTATAAAGCTATATCCAACTTTATAATTCTATTTTTATATACTTTATATTTGCAATCCCATGAAACCATTTATGAGAGAAGCAATTGACCATCTCTATTGCCTTAAGTTTGTGGTTCAGAGTAGAAGCTTAAGTTCCACTCACAAATTGATCAAAGGCATAACTTCTTAGTAAGAAGCACCTATGTGGCAGACCCATGCCAACCTTAACTTAAGTGCTTCTCAGGTGACAAAGTCCATGTAAAGATTAAACAAGTCCTTTGATATTATATAGTCAATAAGAAATATAGCCAACATTTAACCCCAGGTCTCCTTGACATGAAAGCCATGTTTACCTCTCATAGTTTAAAACACATGCTTCAATCATTGAACATAGAGAAATTGAGCTGGTGCCTAAATAAAGCCTTCATCCCTATGTGCTTCTGTCTTTGGTACAGGAAGGTGCTCTACATGGTACCAAAGAGAAATGTAAACACCAACCCGGCCACAAACCCTTTGATCTACGATGCTGTTATGTCTGCAAGATATGCTGGGGCAATGGTGGCACAAAGCCTGTTGGAGTAACCAATCAATATCTGATTTGATTTAAGGACAACTCCGTGAAATATCCAGACCCAACACTTCTTGGGTGACCAAAAACCTGAGACTCAATAGCTCAGGGACTTAGGATAAAACCAAGTACTACTGTTCTAAAAAAAAAAAAAGCAATAAAATGACTCCTAATGACATTCTGCTATACTCATAGAATGGGCTCTTGCTCAGCCATCATCAGAGAACCTTCTTCCTGCAGCAGATGGGAATATAAAGACCCATAGCCAGATGTTATGTAAAGAGTGAGAGACATTGAAATAGCTTTAAATGGGATGTCTCCATCAAATCCCTTCCCCCAGGGCTCAGGGAACACTACGGAAAAGGAGGCAGAAAGAATATAAGAGCTAGAGGGATGGAGGACACCAAGAAAACAAGGTCCTCTAAATCAACATGAGCAAAGCTCATGTGAACTCACAAAAACTGCAGTAGCATGCTCAGGACCTGGACAGGTCTGTACTAGGTCCTCTGCATATATATTATGGCTTCCAGTTTAGTGTTTTTATGTTTTTTTGGGATTCCTGAGTGGATCTCTGATTCTTATGCTTTTTGGGACTCTTTTCCTTCTGTTTGTTTATTTTGTCCAATTCCAATTTGTTAGTTTTTGTTTTATCTTATTACATTATAATTTATTGTTATCTCTTAGAAGCCTGTTTTCTGATGAAAGACAGAAAGGGGGTGGATCTAGATATGAAGAGAGGTGGGGAGGAAATGGGAGGAGCAGAGGGAGGGGAAACTGTAATTATGATATATTATCTGAGGAAAAAAACGATTTCCAAAAAAAAGACAAACAAAGGGAAGAAAAGCAAAAATACAAATGAAACAAAAACCACAGGACTTATTTCCCATAACTTATGGAACAAGCCACTGAAAGCTTTGGCTCTCTTAAAGGTTCTCTACTAGTTAGTGAGGTAGGTAGGCACAAGGCATGGAGTGAGCAAAGGCTGCTGATTCTCACATAAACATCTCTTTGATTCCAATATCCCTGCATCCTTCACTTGACCAGTGATAGTAACATGATTGCATAAAAAGCACCATGCTTGAAACCCATCTGCCATGTACATGCACATGCCTGTTTCTTCCAGCATGTTGAAGGAGAGACACTTAATCCAAGCAAAGAGTAGCAGATGACTGAACTTCGCTCATCTACCCAGTGGTCACAGAACGGGCATCCCTCCACACCCCAAGCCTCTACTCAGTTGGGTAGAGAAATTCTAGCACTTAGGAGGCTTTAATAGGAGAACCTCATGTTGAAGCCCTGACTGGGCTACATAGAGAGACTTTATCTTAAACAAAACAACAACAACAACAACAACACCCCCCTCCTGAAAAGAGATTCCTGACTCTAAAAAACCTGTTTTGTCAATTTAGTTAATAATTCATTTTAAAAGGAACTATATATTTTCATTTTTTATGACAAATAAATTTCAATAATTCTAATTTGATTGCAATCTGTATAATATACCCCTCTAAAAATATCATCACAATAGCCGTTGTCACACAGGGGCGTGTTAGCCTGGCCTCTTAGCCAGGCATGCTTGGTAACCAAAGGGACCATCTAGACCAGGGTTTCCTAAACTGTTTTCATTCATGGTCCCTTTCCCTTGAAAAATTTTTATATGACTCCAGGTATGTAAAGTAGTTCTATAAATCAAACATTTACTCCTAAAAAATCATTCAGAAATATGTTTTAAATTATTCATATATATATATATATATATATATATATATATATATATATATATATATGTTTCTCGAGACAGGGGTTTTCTTTAGAGTAGCTTTGTAGTCTGTGCTGCAACTTGCTCTGTAGACCAGGCTGGCCTTGACCTCACAGGCCTCTGCCTCCCGAGTGCTGGGATTAAAGGCATGTGCCACCATCATTTGACAATTTTACTATATATTAAAGATAAAAAACAAAAACAAAAGAACTGTGTACTAAAGAGATGCAGGTGCTTGCTCATTGTGACAGAAGGTAGACTACTTCTTGGTAGACTATTTGATATTGGCAGGACACAGAACATCTTCAACGTTCTCCAGAGCTGACTATTATTTTGATTTTATAACCATCAATACTGAGAATACTACTTCGTATAAAAATTTGCAAAATGACAGAAGAGTGAAAAATGGCAGAAGTACAGTTAGGGTCATTTCAGAGATTGTTGGCAATTCTGTCTAAATCCATTCAATAAATTAAAGAACAAAACCAAGTCAGTAAATAACAAAATTAAAAATCAAACATTTGAATCCAATCCAATCCAAAAATATACCAGTTTGATACCCACACATCAGAAATAATGACAAGTAAACAGTAAAAGTCTCTATTCTCTATAATTAAACCACTGTGTCTCTAAGCTGGCAGAAAGCACTATAGAGATAATAGTAACATTGTGATCCACGGAATAGAGCATTCTCAGGTCAGCATTTACTGCTGTTGCATACATGTGAAGTGTTAAATGTGCATGTTCTGTGCCCTCAGGAAAAGGACACAATGAATTTGTGGGATGCCACACAGGTGAGCATGGCCAGAAACACCTCGGATTTGTTTTTCATTTGAATTAAATTAACTATTGGTTACTGCACACTCAGAAACCCTTCACTGCTATATTCTTCACAACCCCCACATTCAGTTATGTGACCCTCATGTGGATATGAATCTCCACGTAAGTTTAGAAGCTGAGTTTTAACTATTTATCGACTGGTTTAAGAAAGATGTTGTGCCAGGTGGCGGTGGCTCACGTCTTTAATCCCAGCATTCGGGAGGCAGAGCCAGGTGGATCTTTGTGAGTTCGAGTCCAGCCTGGTCTACAGAGCGAGATCCAGGACAGGCACCAAAACTACATGGAGAAACCCTGTCTCGAAAAACAAGAACAAAAAAAAAAAAAGAAAAGAAAAGGAGAGGGAGAAAGATGTTGCATCAAGGTTAATTTAGAGGTGTAGGGCATCAAAACAGAGGTGCTCCTCCTTCATGAATCTTGCTTGAAAGTAATAAAGCCAGTTCTTTCTTGATAAGAACATTGGCACTTAGGATTTTAAATTGTCTTTCAAATAGTTACTTCAACATCTCCTAGACAAAGCTTTAGCCTCAGACTTTTTATATATATATATTGGTTTGCACTGCTCAATGGAACCTAGGGCCTTGTGCATGCTATGCAAGGACTCTATTACTCTACCTCAGCTCTACACTTAGCCTCAACACACAATTCTTTACATGCTCTCTCTCTCTTTTTGTTTTTGTTTTTGATTTTTTGGTTTTTTGAGACAGGGTATCTCTCTGTAGCTTTGCGCCATTCCTGGATCTCGCTCTGTAGACCAGGCTGGCCTAGAACTCACAAAGTGCTGGGATTAAAGGCATGCATCGCCACCACCCGGTTTTGCTCTCAACTGCTTTTTTTTTTTGGCCTTCTATAGCTTTAATTTTTCTCTCCTTTTTTTGGTGTTGTTGCTGAGTACATGCTACTTTTTATTTAATGTGGTTGTGTTTAGCTAAGTGTGAAAAATTAGAAATGCCCAAGTATGGAATTCGATAAAATAAAGATACAATAGAACACTATGTTGTCATTTAAGGGAATGGGGTAGTTCTCTATATATCACTTTCAAGATATATAACTGGACTTGAATAGGCAAAGTACAGAAAAATATGTGTGGTGTGCTACTGTTTGTATATGCACATACATATGTATGTTCAATATGTTTCTATGCATTGTGTGACTGTGGAAAGACATTTAAGGAAGTGCTAATAGTGGTTTTCTCTAGGGAGAAATTGGCTGGAAGACTGGAAGACTATCCTGTTGTCCTATATATAGTGTATCATATTCGTGTATTATCTATTCACATTTTTATAAGGCAGAAGGCAGAGCTAGTTTTATAGAGATGGAAAAGTACAAAAGACATATTGTTATGTATAAAGAACAAATTACAGAATAGTATAAATAGTATATGATCTGGCTTTTGTGAAGTAATCATAAGTATATAGATATGTATACGTATGGTGTACACATACATATAAAGAATGCATACCAAAGTGTTAATAGGGGTACACTCAGGGGAGAAAGAAAATGTGTGTTCATTTTTTTTATCCTATGCACTATTTTTTTTTTTTTTTTTTTGGTTTTTCGAGACAGGGTTTCTCTGTGTAGCTTTGCGCTTCTCCTGGAACTCACTTGGTAGCCCAGGCTGGCCTCGAACTCACAGAGATCCGCCTGGCTCTGCCTCTCGAGTGCTGGGATTAAAGGCGTGCGCCACCACCGCCCGGCCCCTATGCACTATTTTATCTGACTGTTTTCATACCAAGCACACCACACATCAATATATTAGAAATAATTCTTAAAACATTAATCAAACTGTACATTAAACAAGGCTTGCCAGACCAGTTTTTTGGTTCAGCTGCTCATGTTGTATCTCACGGACCCAGCTCCAGTCTCTTTCTCAATCTCCTCTTTGAGGCTTCCTGAATCTCCCATTCCTTTGCTCACTCTTTCCTCTGTTTCCCAGCATCAACAGGGCTAAGATAAGGTTGTCACTAAGAAATCATACTAACACTACTGTGTGTTGTCTGTCAACCACTTTCTTCTTAGGTCAAATAAACTAATTTTTTGGAGACAGGCTGGCCTTGAGCTCGATATGTAGCTGAGGATGACCTTGAACTCCTGATCCTCCTGCTTCCACACCCCAGGTGCTGGGATTTTAGGTGTGACATAAGCAGGGCTTCACACTCCCTAGGTGAGCACTCTCCCAACTGAGGTACGTCCCCAGCCACCCCCATTTTCTTTGTAATTAATCCAGAATGATGTGGCCCAAACCTCCTTGTACTCACTTTAGAGACTTCGCTTTGGTTAACTGAAACTCCCCGTCCCCATCTCTTTAAGAAAGTACCCATGTTTTCTGGATCATTTGTATTATCACGTAAGTACAGTATGTCTCCAGTCTCAAAGAACAAAACCCAAGAAACCCTGTTTGCCTCCACACTTTTTTCTCCATTTCTCCACACTTCTTTGTGGCAATTCTTAAAAAACATTTCCCTTACTTCATAAAGCCATCGTGTCCTCATTCATTCTCAACCTCACTTCTCTCAGAATTTCAGCTGTGACCAAATGTTCTCCCTAATTCCTCTTTCCAAGGCCATGGTATTTACTTGCAAAATCAATGATTCTCATCTTCTCAATTCATTAATCAAATGCCTCTTTGACTTTCAATTTTTTTCATTTTTCTTTATTAAGAAATTTTCTACTCACTCCACATACCATCTACAGATTCCCCCCTCCTCCCTCCTCCCACCCCCTTGACTTTCAATTTTCCTGTTACTCCTCTGCTGTCCTGTCTCTTGGATCTTTCCCTACATTACAATATCTCCTTCTTTATTCTCTTCACCCTGGAGTGTTGGCTTGCTCATGACTTAGTTCTTGGAGACATCTATCTTCTTTCTTTAAACTCGTTTGTTAGTCGTATTATGTAGCCCTTAACTTTGAATAACATCACCGTGCTGAAATCTGATCAAACTCCTGTTTGTACCTAGGCTTACAGATTCATTGTCTTTTTGACACTGACAGTACTATTTAACTTTGTAATAGTCATCTCAAACCCAACGAATCCAGAATAGACAGAACCACCGTCTCTTCTGATCCTCTTCATGTCGATAAACGATAACTCCATTGGCGCTCTCCTGTCTAAATCCTGAATCTGATTACTTTCTTTAGCTCTCTCTCTGAAACCCTAGTCCAGCATCAGCACCAGTCACCTGACTTAGAACAATATAGACTTTTATCTAACTTATCTAAAAATCTGTGTGTGTTTTAAATATATAAATTACAGTGTATCATTGCTTTGCACAACATTCTCAAATGGCTTCTGTCGTACTCAGCATAAAAATCTAAAGTCCTTTCCATGAACTTTAAGGCTTGCGATGCCTCTTAGACTCACCTTTTATCTCTGAACTCACTCCATCCTTTCCCCTTCACTGTTTTCATGTCACAGTGACCCGGATGCCTTTGGAACATGCTCTCCTCAGAACTCTTGTACTTACATTATCTGTTGGGAAAACTCTTCTTGGCCTGCTCCTTTCCTTTATCCTGCCCATGGGTCACCTCATCAGAAAATCTTCCTTGAGCGAAGAGTCTGGAGCCCGAGGCTGTCTCAGTTGACCCTCTACACTGCTTTGTTTTCAGCACCACCTGATAGGCTGCCTACGGATTTGACTAATATTTGCTTATGATTTACCTGCCCTGGAATACACAAAACAGCTATTTTGTCTCATTTAATACATCTCTAACATCCAGAAGAAAAAGGATGTTATAGAGTAGCTTACAAGAAGTTTCTGAGTTTTCAAAAGAGATGGCAAGAAGTTCTCTTTAGCACAGTCTCATTATATGGAATTCTTAAGACAGTTTAATTCTCCATTAAAACTGTCTCCTGTCTTTAAGTTAAAAACAAAACAACAACAAAAAAACCTGTTTCAACCTTTTCTTTAGAAACTATGATAGACTTACAACTATTGCAAAAGTAGTACAAATAACTCCATGTATTCTTCATCCATTGTTTCTCAAGTTGTCTTCTCTAACTGTCCTTTTGATTTTCTGAACCCTAGTTTCTTCAATCTCTTATGATTTTTTTTTACACAGATTTCCAGGATCTTCCTACTGCTTCTTGAAAACCTAGGAATTCACTCACACTAGCAAGCTCTGTGCCATGAAGCTACCTCCTGACCCAATTCCAATTCTTATTTTGTTGTTGGTGGGTTTTCTTCTACACCAGATTCAAATTCCTATGCCAAGGTGATGTATTATGTAAGGAAGGGAAAGGATATTTTAATTAAATGGGAAAATACGTTTAACCCAATTTTTTAATACTAAAAAAAGAAAAGAAGAGGAAGACTTCCATCTTTGAAGTGCACTGTCCTACAGAGAGGTACACGCTCCTGTAGATTTTGCATACCAGCTTGCTTGCTGTGATTCTAGAGACTGGCAATTTTTAGGCTTTCCTGTGATTTATCTCTTATAGGAAGAGTTGAATACAAATAAATCTATGTTTTTAAATGTATGTTTGCATTTTTAGTCACTTATTTTGTTGAGTTCTTGCCATTCACTTATTCATCAAACATTTTGTGTTTCAACTGTGTAATATCGCCTCTTATCCCCAAGTGGATCTGGAATGAACATCACCTTTAAATCATTACAAGTACCGAAAGATTGAAAAACTCCCATTGTCCAGGTAAGTCAAGTACACTTTATTAAATGGGCATTCCTGTTCTGATGATAATCCTTGAATAACTGGTTTCCAGTATTAAAAAATGAGCAAGGGCCAGTGCCCTTTACAGCATGCCTGCCATATAAATGAGATAAGCCCCTTGAAAAGATAAGGCTGGGCCAGTGAGATGGCTCGGCAGGACCTTGATGAAGATCTGCCATTCACTTGGAACTCTTCTTCCTCATCTATGCCCATAATGAGATGGTTTGGTCTTTTCATGGCATCCCACATCTCCTGGTTGCTCCGTTCTTCTACTTTAAGAATTGTTTTCATATTCCTTGCTCATTTTGTCTAAATCCTCTACTTTGCCCTCCTGTCCAGATAGTCTATCTTCTGCTTGATTCATCTACTTGTAAGTTGAGTTTTCTAGTTGGTTATTGGGTTTTTCAATTCCATCTTGATTTCAGCTTCAGTCCTTTTTCAGTGTTTTCTTTGTTGAATTCTGTTCTCAAGTCCTGGATTGTCTCTGTCATTTATGTTTGTGTTTTCTTTGGGCCTCACACAGGCACTTACTCTCTTTACCTTCTTTCTCTTTAAGTTCATTCAGCTGTTTCTTTGTGTCTTCCTTAAACTCCTTGAGTTCTTTGATGACGTCTATGATTATTGTTCTTTTAAATTCTGCGTCTTGGGGTTCATCTAGGTAATTATCATTGGCAAACATTTTTAAAGGACTGGGAGCTTTTGTAGAGGAGACACTGGCTTGATCTTTCCTGTTGTCTGTGGGTTTGGGCTAAGATCTGGGCATGTGGGCTTCTTTTGTTATTTCAGTGTCTAACACAGAAAGAGCAGGTTGGGGTAGAAGAGAGCTCGTAGGCAGGTGGGGCCTAGAGGTTGGAAATGACTTAGGCAGAATGAAGTCAGGTGGACACAGGGGACAGGGTTGATATGCAGAATACACATCCTGACTCGACACTGGAATGTGGAGGTAGATCTGGGAGTTGGGGAGGGCACATGGAGAGGTGGATCAGGCAGATTCACCAGGCTAGACCCTGGAGAAGGACATGTAGGATCTGGCTGGGTGCAGAGGTTGGTTGTTGAGATGGCTCAGTGGGTTAAGAGCTAAAGGCACTTGCTGCCAAGCCCGAAAACCTGGGTTCAATACCCCAGAGCTCACATGGCAGAGGGGGAGAATTGACTTCAGAGTTTTCCTCTTCTCTGCACATGTGCCATAGCATGTGTATGCCCAAACTCATAACTCCCGCCCCATGCACAAAGACACTCACAATAAATGAATGTTCAAAAAGGTTTTTTTTGTTGTTTTTTTTTTTAAAGGCAAGACTTACTGATTTAATAATCAGTTAAAAGAAGACATGGCTGGGACATCACTAACCACTCAGTTAAAATGAGTATGTAGTAAGTTCCCCTCATGAAAGCCCATTCGCACACGGTAAACATTACTTAGACAACTGCCTGCCAGCATTCTCCCAGTCTCACCTCCAGTATTAACAGGGTGAACATTTGTCATTTGTCTAAACTGTTCCTACCTGTTGTTCCAGCATAATTGTTAATTGCAGCTCCCTTCCCTCTCTCCAGAATCTTGGCTCGGACGATAAATTATATGGTCAATTCAAGTATTAGGGTCTCTGTGATGAATGATCAAGGCACCATTCCTATTTATTGGCATTACCTTGTCACAAGCTGTGAAAACACTTTCCTTTGTGATTGTTTCTTCCTGACTTGTCACAAAGACCTTCACATAAAATCACTCTCTCCCATTAAAGTAATTACTGGGACCCTTTCAGTAATGACCACTTGTTTTACCTTTCCTCTTGAGACTGAACACCAAATGCAGAGATTGCTTTTGCTGGGTCAAGATCAAAATTCTTCAGAGACACTAGCCTTGTACAGGGGAAATACTGTCTCTCTGATCCACAAAAGTCTGAAAGAGACATTTCTCCATAGAAACATTATCTTGTAGAAAAGGGCTGAGGTTTCCTGCTGACTCTCTTCTCTGAGGTTCCCCCCATTCTGAGATTCTTTTTTTCTCTTTTCTTCTTTCATTCTTCTGCCAATTTTCAGCTCAGAGAATGGAAAACCCCATGCAGTATACATGGCTTCAGTGAGTCTCATGTATTCTGGGCTGAGATTCTTAATGTCTCTGGAATTGCTCCTGGGCTATGAGTAACTGGAAAGAGAATCTGGGTGGCCTTCTCAAGGATGATCTCTGCTAAAACTAGCTAATCTCCTTGATTCACAAGTGAAGATGCTCTTGAGTTGCCGAGTTGAGCCAGGCTGCTGAAGCTGCAGGTTTCTGCAGCTCCCTTCTTGGCCGATGCAGGAGGAGCCTGGACACTGGTTCATTATTACATCTTGGAAAGTCGGTCAGAACTTTCCTTCTTCAAAGATTTGTCCTTACAGTACTAAATGTAAAAGAAAAAATGTAAAAAAAGTTTTTCAAAATGTGGAATCATGCAAACAAAATAAGTTGTGAAAAGATAAAAACCTAGCCTCCCCGCATCCCCAACCCCCAAAGGGCATTGATTGTTTTTACTGTTAATTGTTTTGCTATTTTGTAATTCATTGACAAACTATGGAAATTTCTGTTGTTTTCTGTCTTAGCAAAAATAGTTTCCGTGAGACTAAGTAATTTTTTTTTGTAAAACATTGTATTTAGGATAATAGATTTGTAATGACTTTATCATTTTGTGTGTAGCTTGTTTAAAAAATTAAATTGACTGAAACAAAGCGTCTAAGGTGTGCTTTTTCTCTTTCTCTCCTTTTATCTTTATCTATATGCAACAAAACTACTTAGAACTGTTATTATGCGCAGAGTTAACTTCATCATCAAACACTGATGAACCCTGAAATATTAATAATGTGACTTCAGTTTTGATCTAAATAAATGTCATGCTTTTGTCAAAATGTAGAAAAGGCAGAAAAGTTGGAGTCCTACAGCCCATCTTAATTCAAGGACCCGGGTTGGACAGCCCTAGGAAACTTTTAATAATTCTCTCTCTCCCTGTTTTAGTTGTCAGTTCTGCTCTCTCCTTTCCACCTTGCCTGCTCCTGTTGTGGGAAAACAGATGACAAACACCACAGTCATCCTTCCCACATCCATGAAGATAGAGTCTTTGCTGAGTTTTTAGGGCCTGTTTATGAAAATTGGCCTGGGCAAGTGTCCCCAGAGTGTTGCAGCCCCTGAGTGAATAGGGACGTTCCTTGACTTGGAAGCAGTGGCATCAGGTGGTTTGAGGGACTGGAGTGTCATCTTCTGGGAAACCAACTCTACTGGGATCGTGTTAGTATCTCATAGGTTGTATTGTACACTAAAAACACTTGCAGGTGTCTTAAAGAATAAAGACCTACATAAGGGAAGTAAACATTTATCTAGATCTAAAAAGGAATTAAAAAAGAAAAAAAACTGATTCCAAAAATTATTATCTATTTTTAACCATGGGTGTGAATAACATAGAGTATACTATATCTTCCTTGACAAGGTGAGTGCGAATAGCCTGTGCTCATCTTTGCAGTTCTCAAGAGATTTATTCACTGGCTTCCAGCCAACACGATGACAAAGTTTTATTGATGTGCCAAATCCAAGGCTTGGGTGTCAGAATTGGGAAATCTGGGACATGATCATTTGGCTAAAGAACTCTCTCTAGCTTCCTTGTGCTTTTTTGTTTGTGAATGGCTCACAGAAAGCCTTAGAGGCTGTGATAGAAACTGCAGGTCTTTAAAATGAGAAGAGGACTGGGTAGGAAGAGGGGTCATTGGGGTGGGGGATGAGTTGCATGTTTGTGTATTTTGTTGGAAGGTATTTTACTCTACTAGCAAGGCTCATTGGCAGGGTCAGGAACAGTCCTTGTTTTGCGAAGGCTCTTCCTCCTTTATACACTCCTCACCCCCACCTAGGCCCATAATTTCATTATCTGGCCACTCAAAGCCCCTGTACTGTGTTATCTTACCAAGGTGAATATGCTTCGGATTTTGTCTGCTTCTCAGACAGACTGAACTTCCCACTGTATTCCAGCCCCCTTTCCCACTGATACTTGCTTCTGTTTTCCAAAGGAACAGAAATTTACCTGATAATCTAGTCAGGATGACAGCAAAAAGCGTATGGAGAGCTTAATGTACTGTGTCTCCTAAAGAAGGCGGGTAAAGATGGGTACTCCGCCTAGATAACCCAAGAGCAACAGAATTTTGGCTCAAAAATGTGAATTTTCAGTTAGCTGTAATCCCAGCTGCTTATTGAAGTCCAGCTTGGGCAACTAGACTGTGTTTAGTGTACAATTCCAAAGACTGTCTCAAAATAAATTTTAAAAAAATGCAGAGGGGCTATGAATGTAACTCATTGGTAAGGCATTTATCAAGCATGTTCTGTGTCCCTGGTTAAAAAACAAAAACAAACAACAACAACAAAAACCCTTTTAGTGTTGAAGTTTCAGGAGTGGTGGAGTAAATTTTGGGGAAGAAGGGTACAGTATTAGACACCCTTAGACTCATGCCCATAGACTACATGCGGGTGGGAAGGGCCAGCCCTGGGGCCTGGGAGAGCACAGCATCTGTTTGGTACAGCAGCTCTCCTAACAGCAGAGGGAGGAGGTGCTGTTGGGAAGCAAACAGCCAGAGAATGTGCCTGACTTCTCTGTCAACAGGAAGACCGAGGACTATCCATGCCTTTCTCCTCCTGGAGGTTGGTACTGAGAGAGGGTACTGGGCACCCCTCCCACAGACATACACCCTCACCCAGGCACTCCCAGCCTCACCCCATAGTTTGATTCCTCAAAGATCAAAAAGACAAAAGATTCAGAAGCGCCTGCAGCTGAGCCCTGCTTAGACAATGTAATCCCAAGATCGATCGTGCCTGTTTTCTTTTAAGCGCTCAAGTACTGCAGATCAAATCCCTTCCTCACCATCACTTTGCAAACAGCACTGAGGATGTGCTGTTTCTGATTACATAATGATTTAAGGCAAGGAACATTTTGTTGACATACCCACACCAGTTCTGATTTGACACTGGGTTACATTTTGCTCTGTTAATTCAAGATTTTCCGAATATTGCCATTGCATAGATAGAACATATTCACTGAGATGTTGTTGAGGTAGGGTTCTAGTTTAACTTTAAACACAGAAAAATTTCCCCTGTGACTTATATTGATTCCCAGTGAGAATGGCAAGCACTTTTGGTGGGTCTCACTAATCATGTGGTTTCTGTATGTAAACACTTACCTTTTACATGTGTAAATGTGGACAGAGCATAGACTTTTTCACTGTTAGCCTAAGTATGTACACAAGCATCCATACCTTACAGATCTCTGGTCATTTTTAAATAACTGTTCCCTCAATTGAAGTAAGATTGCTACTGCTCCTCTAACTATTAACTAATAAAGATGCCACACTGCCAAAGTGCTCTCAGCAAAAGTAGGAGTTTGAATGTCTAGCATCCATGTCAAAAGCTGAGTATGGGCTGGGCGGTGGTGGAGCACACCTTCAATTCCAGCACTAGGGAGGCAGAGGCAGGCAGATCTCTGAGTTGGAGGCCAGCCTGGTCTGCAGAGCAAGTTCCAGGAGACAGCCAGGGCTACACAAAGAAACTCGGTCTCAAAAACCAAACCAAACAATGAACAACCAACCAAACAAACCCTGAGCGCAGTAGCCCATCTCTAATCTCAGTACTGGGAAGGTGGAGTCAGGTGAGAGAGGCAAACCCTGCATCATGCTAGCCAGCCAGCATAGCTGAATTGACGAGTTCCAGGTTCAGTGGGAGACCCTGTCTTGAGAAATAAGGTGGCTAGTGATTCAGGAAGACGCCTGGTGTCAATCTCAGGCCTCCACACACAAACACAGATACACACAAATTAAAAAAAAATCTGTAATCCAAACTAATTAGAGTCATAGTTAATCTTCACTTTTAAGAATGGCATTGAGTCTAGACACAGGGATTTTTCTGGGAAACCAATGAGGCCACTGAATAATCTCCTTTAGTACTGAAGGAATACACAAGTCATTCTGATCACTGCCCTAAATGGTAATGTTGCCTAGACTATGAAGAAATGCCATTCAATAGGCATTTCCCTTGCAGCATGGTACAGATCTCTGTGCACAGATCCACATCAAGCTTGTTCTTCTCCTGCTTGGGAACCACACTATCAATACTGCCAAGAAACATCACTGTGATGTGCAATGCTGCCGTCATGCTAAATTCTCAGAGCTCTCTCCTAACCTGTGCAGGAGAACACATATATGAGAAAGCAGTCAATGATGACAGCAATTATAGATTATGGTCACGACTAGTCCCCCAGGAAAGGGAACCACTGGTTGTAACTAAAATGTTTATCACCGCAGAAAAGCCCCCACATACTGTTTTAAGTCTCTGGATAAAAACTTCAGATAACAGTTTTTGATTACTGACTCTGTCACAAGTCCTGTGCTTAACCATGCTGGCTTTGATCTGGTTTGAGCCTCATCATTGCTCGTTGGTTAGAAGGTATCATCATGCATCATGCCCTGACCCAGGTGTGCGTGCACTGGGAATGCATGGGAAAAGTCAGTGCCTACAACATGTGACTTTCAAATCCCTCCCTTCCCCCAGACCCCAGGACATGCAGTTGCAGGATTCAGTTTTTCTCTATGTCCACAATTGATGTGGACATAAGTCCTATGGCTTCAGGGTGTTTCTATGTGTGCCTGTGTGTGCAGCACATATTTGAGGGTTTTCCTCAATATTCTCTTCTGCTTTTCTATCAGCTTGTTTTTGGTGGACTAACAGGCCCACTTTGAAGTTCTCTTGGTGTTGAATCTCTATTCCAGTAAAACTTAATAGGGGTTCTTATTTCTATATTCCCAGGATAGCACCCCTAAAATTTTGAAACATGCTGTTTTGAAAATGTTTTTAAATCCACCATGAGAGAAACTGTGTCTAAGGGCCATCTCCCCAGATGATGTAAAGACTAAAGTCATTTTAGTTATCACCCACCCGGCTCCTTCTGTGTGTGTGTGTGTGTGTGTGTGTGTGTGTGTGTGTGTGTGTGTGTGTGTGGCTTAGAGCTTTCTAGCTTCTCAGGCTCCCCGACACTGTACCTTTATGTTGTTCAGAGAGTCAACTTAAAATATACAATCTCCAGACGGGAGTGATTTAGCAAAATTAAAAACAGGCAAGGGGCAGGGAAGGCGGGAGGTGTCAAATGTTTTCTCTGCCCACTATCAGTTTGATGTGGTAGCTTGTTCCTACCTAGTCCTCCGTCATGCTGTCCACTACCCAAAGCTAAAATATCTGAAACGGTAACAGAATACACATGAATAGAGATGTGTAGGCCCCTCTGTCTCCCTTCTAACCCACCACAGAGAGTTTTAATTGTGGCCTGTTTCAATTTAATTTTGCTTCACCTCAGGATGAAAGGCACTAGTTTCAGTGCACCTTAAGAGGTACCATAAAATATGTATAAGTACTTGCAAAAATTCTTTTAGCCTCCTCCAAAGAAAATCGGTATTTCTGATCGCTTATTTGTTTTTGGAGTAAACTCTTTCCAAACAAAACCATGTCATATTAGTGAGCTAATAGTAATGTCTTCAACTTTATAGTGCACACACTTATTTAATTTTCATGTGCACACTTAGTTAAAATTTCTTCTCTGGTTAGAAACAAATCTAGTAAGAGAACTGCAAAGAAGTTACATGTAGGGAAGCAATGTCACATAGTAAACCCACTTTGTAGTATGCGTTGGGTGAGATTTGGAGTAATTCAGA